CCTGTTTCTGGCAAGCTGTCTCACTTTTAACAACAAACTCTTTGTGCCCCCTACAAGGGTTCTGGGGAAGACCCAATTCAGTCTTTCAAAGTTCACCTGACCTTAGGTGGCTCATCAGATTAATGAGTGAAGGCACCCCGGCTTCCATACCCAGTGGCACCCAAAGGGACAGGGAGCCTATGAAGGTAATTTCAGCTGGCTGGTGGTGTGAGTGCTGTGAGCGTACATCTGCAGCAGATTGAAACATGGTCCTGGAGCTGAAGCAAGGCTCTTAGCTGCTCTGTCAGTTGAATGCAGAGTTCATTATTTTAAAAAAGATTGTTTCCTCTGCAGCGGGGGTGTGTTTCTCTGTGTGTGGGTATAAGCACGATTGCCCAAAGTCACACTAGCAAGTTAGTCATCACAGCTACTGTGGAGTTTAAGTTCAAGGGAGCAATGAGTGATTCATTCCACCTGGCACTATATACAATGAGTAAAGAGAAATATTTCCTGTACCTAACCCAGACACCAGTCAGGCATCAAGCTGTCTGAATATGAGCAGGCATACAAATGACAAATGTGTGGAGGAACAGGAGGAGCTGGGGAAAAAAGATGAGAATGTATTTTTCACTCTGAGGTTAGCACATTTGCCCTGAACACAATCCCAAAACCTAATGAATCAGAAAGTGTAATTGTTACATAGACTAATTTCAAAACAGTACTACTCATTAAAGATTAAGGGAAAGAAAAGGAATGTGGGGTTCAGAACTTTTATTCAGATTTTGTCATATTAGCTCCTCATTGGTAATCTTTTTATGGTTCACATTTATTCAATTCTTCATTCACAGGATTCTGTCAAGGCTCTCTAATATGTGCCAAGTACAATCTTCATTAACTGAGTTATCTTTCAGCTCTGCTTTATCTGTGGTTACCAAGCCACTGTTAGTCAATGACATTTTAATGTTAAAAAACAAATAAAAAAAAGCAACACAAAGGCAACTTGATTTCTATTGGTGGTTTTTGCAATCAGATTACCAATGTTTCATTACATTTGAATACTGATATATTTCATGTTTGACACACTTTGGATACCCATTAGAGAAAATGAGGCTTACAGGGGTGTTCATTAAGTTCTGCACTATTTTGACTACCACGGTGCCGGCCTATCTTATAGAAATGTTGAACTTTATCATCGGGACCCTTTTTCATTGTCACCTGGCATCTAGGGCTGTGAGGACTCCTTTGCTATTGACAGATCTATTTTGCTGTCCCTTCAAGGCAAAAATCATCCCGTAGGCTGTGTTACTCGATTCTGGAGACTATTAGAAATTTGGGGGGAGGGGTGTTGTTTTACAAGGTGTTTGTTTTATTCCTCAGTACTTTGTTAGCTTAGCTGGTCCTTCTGTATAGCGTGTGTCAGGCTTTTCATGCCAACAGCAAGTAGAAAGGGAATGATAAACTCCATGTCTTTTTGGAAACCAAAGAGGAAAACTGCAAGGAGGAAAATTTTGAAAATTACCTCTTTTTGAGTAAGCCAAGATAACTTCCAAATAGTCACAGTTAGCTGTCTTATAGTTGCTTGAGAAAGGTCTTGGAGAACCTAGTACAATTTGTGCAGAGGCCACAATGTTCTGCTCCTCTATAAAGTCTTCTGAATTCCTGTGGTGCTGTTGTCCCAACAGAGGCCTGCTGTTAGATGTAGAAAGCTGTATCTGACTTCCCCTGTATCCCACCCATGTGGTGGTATCTGCAAAAATTCAATGCTGCCTAAGCAGCTATAAATATACAGTGTTTATATATAATACATAGCAGGATAATCAGAGCATCTTCCCATTGTATAAGATACACGCACATACATGATGTAAGAGAGACACTGCAGCCAGCATTAAGGTTCTCCTTCCTGTGGGGAAATATAACCACACACTTTATACCACTCAAACATTGCGGAACAAGTTAAAAAGAGCATGTTCAAATACGGGGACAATTGCAATTTTAGAAAATCAAGAAAGAATTCGCTTTGTGGGATTCCCTTATACTTTGCAAATCCCATAGGATCTTTGGTGACTGCAGAGGGTAAGAACCTCAATAATTTTGTCGCATGAAGAAAATCCTGCACAGCTGCAGTAATTTTCAGTCGGAAGATTTCATAGCTTGTGCTTTCATCTACGCCTTTTTTCTAATGTTCCTTAACTTGAGAAGAAGAAGAAAAAAAAAGATAGTAAGGCAAGGGAAATAGTTGCTAATCCTAGTCAAGGTATATTAAATTCAGTAATGCTCAGACATGACATAAGTGTTCAGAATTTGTATATGAATAAAATTTAAAATATTCTGGGAGGAAAAGCTACCTAAATGTCAGAAAAAGAAATACAAGCTATAAAATCCTGTGAAAAAAACACATAGACCAGAGTAAGATAGATGTACTGTCTTTACTCAGCAAAGAAATCACAGAGGGTATGCAAATAGAGAATGAAAATGACACATTTTTACTTGATTCGAAAGCATTATCCATAATAGCATCTGCAATGTGTCTGCAATAATAGGGTGTAAATTGGAATTTACATAACAGATCTGTGGAAACAGGCTCTGAATAGCAGTCTGAAAATGGTGTCTCCAGTAG